CCTTGTTGCTTTCCAAAGTGAATAGTTAGAGTCTGCAGTAGGAGTTAAGTTCTGAAGGTAACTTTGAAGACCTTCATTTTTAAAGTTCTGCAGTATACAACGTAAACATAAATTACAATCTTCGTAATTTCCAATGAATATAAAAAAGAAAATTAAAGAAAAAGAACAGAAGGAATTCGAAAAGTATTTTCGAACGTTGATCCATTGATCAATAAAAAAACGAAATATTTTCGACAGAAAAATATGTTAATAATACCTTTCTTAAAAAAAAAAAAAAAAACAAAATGAATAAATAATCTTTGTAGCTGCAGTGAAAAAATTGTTAAAAGAGAAAGGAAGAAAAAAAAAAAGGAAAAGTAAAAATCCCGACAAGAGTTTTATGAACTCGTTGAAATTTGTTCCCAGTAATTCGAGAACGGTGAAGAAATTTCGATAAAAAGTGTCTACCGGTAAAGCCTATGAAGAGATTAACGAAGTGGTTTGGGGATGGGGGGTGGGGGGGGGGGATAGGAAAAGGGAATACGACATGTTCTCGTGGGACTTGAAATCACATTCTTAATTTCCATAAAGGGGAGCGGAGTGTTCTTTCTTTGTCTTTCTTTCCTTCACACACAGAGACAGAATATACACACACACATGGATATACTTGTAGGATGGTTGGAGAAGATCACGAGACTCTTTTACCTTACTTTTTTCATCCCCTTTTTTTTCTTCACCCTCGTTCAGCTTTCCTCCATCTTCTTCTCCTTCTTCTTCTTCTTCTTCTTCTTCTTCTTCTTCTTCTTACCCCTCCACCCCTTCTCCTTTTAGAATTTTAAGCTTGGTAAGCATATCCTACTCAAGTCTGTCTATCCCTTTTCTTTTTCTTTTTACTTTCTTTTTCTTTTTTTTTTTTTCCTTTTTTTCCCCCTTATTTCTACAGAATTTCGCAACTCGAAGCATCCCTGGACCTTTCTCACCCTCCTTAACTAAATTTCTATGTCCATGTATTAGATACAAGCCTTGCGTATGCTAAACCCATAACTGTAAATATTTTTCGCCATAAGCTTCACCATTTTTCTTTCTTTTTGATTCTTTTATAATACGGAGAGGAAATAGAATGGCGTATTAGTTTAAAAAAGGTCGAAGGGTGGTTTATTTATATAACCGTATGTTTCTTTTTTTATATCTAATCTTAGTCAGCACTGAATAAATTTATATATATATAGATATATAAAATATTTATTTATTTTTCTTACGTCGTAATATTTACTCATTAAAAATTGAAACTTTGAATCAACACAATATCTGACGTTGAGAATTATTTAAAAAAAAGAAAAAAGAAAAAGGATAATCTGTTTACTTACCAGAGCGTTCGAAAGAATCGCACGAAAAGAAAAAAAGGAAATTAATTTTCTAATATTTTTTTTTTCTAATATTTATTTGTTTGTTTAACTTGTTAAAAAAAAAAAAGAAAAATAAGAGAAAAAATAGAATGTAAGAATTGATAAAAAAGAAATTATTTGCAGAAAGGGCATTAAAGTCGTCTTGTACGGATCTTACGTGCCGTGGAAATAATTTTTCTCCAGAGATCAGCACAATCGATTTCACTTACCTTTCATCTGACGCGACTGTGACGCCAAGAAATTCATTGAAGTTTCTTCTCTCTCTTTCTCTCTCTCTCTCTCTCTCTCGATTTTTAGAAAAGTGGAGACTATTAACGGAAGACGGTGCATAATATTAGAATCTTTTATAGATTTAATCTTTATCTAGTTTAATAGGGATAATCCGTCAGCTTTCGCTACGTATTATTCCGACAATATTTTTTATCGAACGTTCTCGATCTCTTTGAGAAGATCAAGAATTAAATTAATTTTTAAATTGTTTTCTCTTTTTATTCAATAACGAAAAAAAAGAAAAAGAAATTCAATAGTACGAAAATACATAATTTACAAAATAATTATATAAAAGAGAAAAATTTTAATCAACCTTTCGTGAATATTTCGGAATCATGAATTACACCAATTGCTAGGATACATTTTTTCGTACATATTTTTAAGAAAATTAAAAAATAAAATTTTTATCATAATAATAAAACTCGAGAGAGAAGAAGGAAAAGGAGGAGGAGGAGGAGGAGGAGGAGGAGGAAAAGTGATAGAATGAAAAATGAGAAACATGTACAATATAACGTTGCGTTTATTATTATCGTTATTCGTTAAACCCCGACGATATCACCATCCCTCGTATTTTATTTATACAGTTTCATTTACTATACACTGTTTTTTCTTTCGCTCTAGCCTTTTGTTTGCTTAGATATTTTTTTATCCTTTTTGCTTTTTTTTGTATATTTTTTTTTTCTTTTTCTTTTCCGTTTGTTAAATCTGCGTGTAACACGTGTGTAATTTTTCTTCTCTATCCACTGTGTTAATGTATGTATGTGTGTGTGTTTGTATTATTATGTATTTTATGTACGCGTGTTTATTAATTTATCTTTTTTCCCTTTCATATTGTTATCTTTATTTAATTTAATTTAATTTAATTTAATTTAATTTTATTTTATTTAATTTTATTTTATTCACTGCCCATATCGTACATACATAAATACGCCTAAAATTTATGTACTGCGCACGTATTATTCATACATATGTACGTTATATACAAAAGCGTTGATTTTAATCGTCCTCCCCCTTTTTCTATGCGATGCTACGAAGACACCCAAAAAGAATAAGAGAGAGAGAGAGAGAGACAGAGAGAAAAAGCGAATGAGAGTGAGAGGGGTAGGAAAGGAAAGAGGGTGAGACCGATTTTCTTTCTCATTCTTTCTTTCTCAGTCTCTTCCTCTTCTTTTTCGTCTACTTCCGATCACTGCTTCTTCCTTTCAACCAATCCCCCAAGCCTTGTGTTCGCGTTCGAAATCCTTTTCCCTTTTTTCGTCTATTATACTACCGACCCTATTTGCGAGCTATTACGAGATTACTCAGAAACGTCTCTCTCACTCTCTCTCTCTCTCTCTCTCTCTCTCTCTCTCTCTCTCTCTCTCTTCCTCTTTCCTTCTTTCTTTCTCTTTTTCTATCCCCTTTCATTTTCCTTTCCTTTTTTTCTTCTTCTTGCAAATTCACGAATTATTGCACGAACGTATTCTAACCTGTCCCTTATCCTTCCTTTATCCCTTCCTTCCTTCCTTTTCTTTTCTTTTCTTTTCTTTTCTTTTTTTTTCTTTTCCCTTTCTTTACATCTTTAAAATTTCACCGTTCATTCGTTGACGATCCTTCGTTCTTTCTCCCCCACCATTTTCTTTTTTTTTCTTTCTTTTCTTTTATTATTATTATTATTATTATTATTAATATTATTATTATTATTATTATTAATATTATTATTCTTTTTTTTATCTCGTCATTTTTTACTAGTTCTCAACGTCGTCGTTGATGCCCGTTTAAATAACTCGGCTAGAAAATAATTGACAATAATCTGTCAAGTAATTAAAATTAATTCGATCCTATATAATATTTTTTCACCGAACGATCGTAATTCTGACCCAGTTTCCTATTCTTTTTTTTTCTTTCTTTTTTTCGGGAACTTTCTTGCCTTTTTAAATTATTTTTTATTTTTTTTTTTTTTTTACCTTGGTTTATGTTTTATCTTTTTTTCGTTTGTTTCAATTTTATCTCGTTTCTCTTATCTTTTACAAACTAATTTATACATAAGTACACAACACATCTAAGCGCTCGTTTGCTCAAGAAATAAATTCTCAGTTTGCGTTGGACGCGAGGATTCCACCCACCCCCTTCCCCCCTCTTGACCCTTTTTCTTATGCTCTTTTTTTTTTTTTTCATCTAATATTTTTTACTTCCTTTAGATTTTTTTTCCCCTCTTTTTTTTATTCTTCAATTCAGATACTCCGACGAAGTTTTACACAAACTTTACAGCCTTACCAATCCCGCGTATAAAACGTAAGTAATTAAAAGTATACCTGCCCATATAATTATTGTAGAAAATCAACAAAATATAATATATATACCACCTATATAAACCAATAAAAAAAAAAAACAAAAATCCATAAACAATCATCTTATTCACAACGATATTATTTAAATAACATATTTCTTATATAATATATATTTCGATTATATCGTTTAACGTAACTTTTAACATTGTGCGAAATTTGATTTTCATCGCTTTTTACATCACCCGAAACAGATTTTAAACTCGCATGAGATATTTGTTTGTTTCGTTATTTAAAAAAAAAATAACGTTTAATGCAAAAAACTCACACCTCCCATCCTCCCCTATGAAAGGAAAGAAAGAAAAAAGAAAATAATATATATGAAAAAAATATATAGAACACAAAAGAATAGTTTTTCTTCTTCCTTTTCTTATTCTTTCTTTCTTCCTTCCTTCCTTTCTTCTTTTTGTTCGTCAATGTCTGACTTGTTACATTTTCATTGCACACATCCACACACACTCACACATCTACACGCACACACTCACAAGTAGTCTTTCTTTTCTAGTAGAAACGAGGAACCGATTCGAGGAGTGCAGTCCGGTCTTTATTTTGTCGCGATTAAACTTCAAGTCTCGTTCGTTTTCGTTCCTCTTCGTTTCATCTCTCTTCCCCCCCCCCTTCCCCTTTCCCCCTGATCCTTCGTGCTCTTCTCCGTCAAAGTCCATCGTCTCCAATCCTTATGGCGTGTCTCTCTCTCCCCCTTTTCCCTCATCCAACCCCTCGTTTCAGTAGCTCGTTCACCTAGATCCCCGTTAGTTTCTTCCGCCTCTTCCGTTTCCACCTTCTTGGAAAATAAAAGGTGTCTCGTCGAAGGCGCGTGATCGTGCGATCAACTCAAACGACGTTGTGAGACAAGGATCTGTCGTCCCGCCAAGCATTGGCTGGAAAGAAAAAGTCATCTTTTTAAATTCTCATCGAGTATATTCCTCAATGACGTAAAACATTTTCCCCGGTTCGAGAAAGTTTGGATGATAGGCTTGGGTTACCTCTATAATGCATCTCCTGTGCCATTGTCGGACATTTAGCATCTGGTCGCTGAAAAAATAAATAATATTATATAGGTTTGAAATAATTTTCTCTTTATTTTATTTAATATATTTATTATTTTGTCTAATTTTATATATTCGCGCGCGTGTATTATATTATATTTAATATTATATTATTACGTCGCTGTTTTAATGAATTATTTATTTTTATTCGAATTAATTTGATATATGTATA